GTGTGTGCTGCATGGCACTGGGAGCATCCGTCCCTTCTTTAAGAGCTCGGTGGATTTTAATGTTAAATACCAGAATTAAGGTCTAAGCGTGGCTTCATCCTACTGGTTATTTTCCCTTCTCAAAAACCGGTCGACTCTGTGTATGCAGAACTGACCCAGATCTGTCCCTGCCTTCCAACAGACAATGGTGAGTCTGTATGAAGAGCCCTTGGAAATTTCCATCTGCACTCGAGCATTACGGTAGCAATTTGAAGTAAAACTGTTATGCAATATAGGATCCATACGTGGGCAGAGGTCAGCTAACCTGTGTTACTGCTACGAGCTGCAAATAATTCTGCAAGTTCTCATTCAGTAACAGTTGTGTAATCATTAAAACTATCAGTCTCCAAGATAAATACTGTAAAGATAAGGCAGTGTCAAATGAGTTGCCTTTGCCTTCTTTATTGCTTTTTAAAAGAGCTGACCACGGATGCTGGCTGTGCTGGGGTCTCTCCTTGCAGCAGCACCATTGTGCAGCACCAAACTACTTTGCTGATAACTTTTATAGACATGCAGTCGCAAGTCTGTCCTATAAAATGTACCAGCACTGATTCAACAGACTCCACAGATGCTCAAGTCCTGCACTTAAGCACTGTTAAATGTAAATGGCACTTGAGCATGTCCTTCAGTGTCTGCTTAGGTACTTGCTGGGGTTTGGGTGCTATGGTTTGTCTAGAAAAGCAGATGAAAGGTTGCAGATCTGTGTGATGAAGCGGAGAGAAACAGAATTAAACACTGAGGGGGACTGGATAAAATAGGAGTTTTCTGTCCAGGTAGATGGAGATGGGAAATGTTCTCTAGGGTTCCTAAAAAGGATCTTTTGAAGCTGTTGCTTGTTTTGTACCACTGTTTCCTGTACTAATTGACACAGTTGCTGTTGTCACTTATTTAACAAATGAGTGCAAGCACAAACAAGGACAAAAATAAGCGTCTGCTAATATGAGCAGATTTATCTGTTCTCTTCCCCACGCCTTTTCCCACGAGCGTAGTTTCTATCAAGCTTACTGAGTAAACCTTAGTGCCAAGTATTTAATCTTATCCGTGAGGGGCAAAGGGTGCTAAGAGCAGGGTGGTTTTCTTCCTATATTAGTGATGTCTCTAAACAAAAGGCAGGTGCTGGAGCAGCCTCTTCTCAGAATGACATAGGAGTAATGTTGGATTGGGATGTAGCTTAAAATAGGTCTGTAGCAACCACTTGCTGCGTGTTACAGAAAATGTATTACGCTCAAGAGTGATGAGGGCAGGAAAGTCACAGTTCGGGGTAAACACAAGAGAAGTCCAACACCACCTCTGCCAATTCGTGATGATAAATCTAGATCACATGTATTGGTGCTGTCAGCCTTTGACTGCACGGCAGCCCCGAGCGTGCCGAGGCGATGCTGTTCCCTTCGAGCCTCGGGGCCCCCCTCAGCCGGGAGCCCCTCGCTTTGCCCATGCTCCCCGCGCTGGTAGCCCGCCTTCTGACCCCCCGCCCCGCTGTCCTGCATGTTCCTCTGGCGCTTCCTCAGGGTAGCCCAGCTGAAAACTTTAGATAATTCCTACATGGGTAGTTTGTGTTTCGCCCTCCCGCACTGCCAGGGCTGGTCCTGCCCCTTTGCTGGGGTGATTTGGTGATGAGCCAAGTGATCACTCGGCATCGTTTGTCCATCAAGAGGTTCAGGTAGGTTTTATGTACCTGAGAGCGCTTTAGGAGCCACGGCTGAAAATAGCATCCTTATTTTACTGGTTTGGGTTTGTCCCTGATTTTGATGTTAACTTGAATTACATACAAGGATTGTTATTTTCCCTTGTAACTGTCCTTACACCAAGGCAGTGGTTAGAGAGCAGCAGCGTTCCCTGGATTCCAGGAAGAAAGGCAAGAAACTGCCAACCGAACTGTTTGGTCAGCGGCACATCAGCCGTGGCCCTGCAAAAAATGTTTCCTTTTCCCTAATCTTCCAAAAGAAATCAGTCAGTGTTTTGCACAGTGCTGAAATTTCCCGAGCTGGTTTCCTCTAGTGATTTTTCTGTGAGTCCTGAGTGGCAGACACGGGATGCCTGGGCAGTGCTGGCCGACACTGGGTGCGCAGCTGCTTGGCTGGAGCTCCTACGGATGGGGGAAACAAGTTCCCTCAAGATCGCACTTCTGTTTTGTTGTTTTGGTCCTGTACTTAGTAATAATTAAGTCCTTTGTTGCCTGAAGGCAGAGTATTTCCTCTAGAAGGCTCAAGCAAACATCCCTGCTCCCCGAACAAAAATGGTAAACGTTTAAAAGCCAAGGACGCGGAGTTAATCTTCACTGTGGGGCTGTGACCCTCCTGTGCTCCGAAGCCATCGCTCTGCTGGGAGACACCCGCAGCAGCGGGTCCGGGCGCGCTGGCATCGCCGTCGGCAGCGTTCCTGCCCCGTGCCCGGGGAGGGGGCCCTTCGGCTGCCTCTGCCCTGGCCGAGGGGTGGCAGAGCCCGGGGCTGGATCCTGGGCTGGCTCCCGGGGCTGGATCCTGGGGCTGGATCCGGGGCTGGATCCTGGGCTGGATCCTGGGGCTGGATCCCGGGGCTGGATCCTGGGCTGGCTCGCAGGTCTGGCTCCCGGGGCTGGCTCCCGGGGCTGGATCCTGGGTCTGGCTCTCGGGCTGACTCCCGGGGCTGGATCCCAGGGCTGTCTCCTGGGGCTGGTTCCCGGGCTGGATCCTGGGTCTGTTTCCCAGGCTGGATCCCGGGGCTGGATCCTGGGGCTGGTTCCCAGGCTGGATCCCGGGGCTGGATCCCGGGGCTGGATCCCGGGGCTGGATCCTGGGGCTAGCTCCCAGGGCTGACTCCCGGGCTGGCTCCCGGGGCAGCTCAGCCACCTCCCAGTACGCTGAGGCGGTGGCAGGGTCGCCGGTGCAGTGCCTTGAGCTGCTGCTGAGAAGGGCCAGATGAGATCTGGGTTTGTGTTAATGTTCATCTTATAATGAATGCCCTGAAAAATAAATGAAATCTGGGTTCCTTTTGCCCGAGGTAAGATGCCTCCCGACAAAACCCTCGTCTGGTGGTGCTGGGAGGCACGTGGTGACGGATGGATTCGGTGTGCCTGTTGGGAACTGGCTCCGGGTGACTGTGCTCTGTGAGCTGATGAGACTGAACCAGGTATTTTCCTGCTCCCCAGGTCCATGCAGGGGGTTCAGAGAGGAGCCCCAAAGACCAGCCAACCCCAGCATTCGCTCTCCAGTGATTTCTATAACCTGGATGCCAAGACCTTTTGTCTGTAGGAGCCAAGCTCTCGGGAGGGGAAACCGGTTGACAGAGGCTCATTTAGAGGTGCCTGTACTGGGATTCCCTCACAGCTCTTGCCTGACCCTTGTCTGTCGTGTGGCCAGCAACAGCCGTCCCTGGGACAGGCAAGTGGAAATTTCCTTCCCATTCCCAGTGTCTTGTGAAAACATCATAAAACATCCGTGACGTTCTTTACCCTTGCTTACAAGAAGGGGGGGGGGGGGGGGGAAAAATAATCAATAAGCCCCAATCCTTAATTACCCATTACAAACACGAAACGCTGCAGGCGATTGCTCAAGGAGGTGAAATGCCACAGTGCTCACCCCCCGCGGGGTGGGCTGCGTCCCCGCTCCAAGCCCAGACTTTCTGGGCGGTGATCCCTTACGGGCTGCGGCGGGGGCTCGAGGGGGTTTGGGTGGAAGCATTTGTGCAACATCGGCTTTCCGAGCTGCCGGGGGATCCCGTTGGCACCAGCAATCCCCCATTTACAAGCAGTGCAAGGGGGATGCGGGCCCCCCACTTCGGGAGCTCTGGGCAGGACGTGGGCTGAGGTTTAGGGGAGTCGGCTTTGCCTGTGGTTTGGGCAGGCTCCTTGGGGTAACTCGAGGCAAATCGGTCACTTTACCTCCTCTCCAGGGCCTGCAGGGAGAGGTTTAGTGATAGGTCTCTCCGTGCTGATGCTGTCTTTAAGGTTTTAAAGCCCCTTGAGCGTTACTGGCGTAACACAAGTTCAATCCCCTGTGTTTGCCTTGCCCAAAATTACCAACGTCACGCGGTTTGCGAAGGAGGCATCTGCCCTTCACACCTAACCCTGGGCACTGCTCCGAGTCCCGGGCTGGCTCCGTCAGCTTGCCCCCCCCATGTCAGCACGGTGCCTCTGGACACCCTTTCCCGGGGTGCAGCCTTCCCCCACACCCCCTTCCACACGTGTTTCGGGGCTCTCAGCCGTACTGTGCTGGGAAGGGCTCCGGTCTCTTGTGCTATACCTGGGCTTAGACTCGGCGATAGCTAAGCCTCGGCCAGGAGGGATTTTTCCCAAGGAACAGTTTTTCCTTCCCCAGAGCTAGGCCAGGCCTTTCCCAGGGCGTGCTGGCTCCGTGCGTGTCCCCGGGCACGCGATGCTCTGGCCCTTCTGGCACGTGGCACCTCTTGGCAGCACAAGCAGGTAAAAACCGCCCGGGGGAAGGCGGCCAGCTGGGCGTCACACAGGTGCCAGCACTCCGGGTGTCTCCAGGAAAGGAATCACAGCCCGAGCCTTGGCAGAAAACCCTAAACCAACAACAACACAACAACAAAAAAAAGAAAAAAAAAAAAAAAAAAAAAAAAACAAACAAACCCAAAGCCTTGAACCAAGGAATGGCAGTGATAAAGAGCTTTTATATTCCTGGGGGATGGCCTATCAGCTTTTATTGCCCCCTTTTTTTTTTTTTTAGCAATGCAAATCCAATCCATTTTTTAGAGCCTCCTGTCCACTACCTCTTCACACAGGTCCAGGGGAGCTTGCCAGCCTTGCAGCGGGACAAGCGGGGTGCTCCTTGGGGGTCCCTGTCCCTGCACCAGGACCCCTCCGAGACCTGAGCCTGGATCTCCAGCTTCTCAAGCCCCCTGCTCCGCAGCCTCTCCTCGCCCGTGCCCGCGGGGCCGGCTGCCGCCGGGACGCTGCCTGCCCCGCTCCAGCCCCGCTCATGGCCGCGGTCGAGCGCGGTGCCCCGCTAGTGAAGGAGGTGATGGACATGGACCTCCAGTCCAAGCCCCCGCGGCCCCACTGGTACGAGCTCTACGTCCAGCCCTGCGTGGCCGAGCTGCTGGGCAGCGCGCTCTTCATCTTCGTCGGCTGCCTCTCGGTGGTCGAGGACGTGGGGGGCACGGGGAGGCTGCAGCCCGCCCTGGCACACGGGCTGGCCGTGGGGCTCGCCGTCGCCGTCCTGGGAGACATCAGGTAAGGGGGGGGCCGGTACCCGGGGCTGCGTGCGCTCCCCACCGCGGGCGGCAGGGTCCCTGCGGCGGCACCCGCACGGTTTCCGCGCGCAGGCGCTGGCGCTCGCGTCTCCCCCCCGCGCTGCCTTTAGGGTGTTTCTTGCCCAAATATCGGTGACGGCAGCAGCGCTGAGCGGCCACCGGGCCTCTCGGTTAACAGTGGGGCTGCTTGGGTGGGGGGGAGCCCGTACCGCCTTGGGTTTGGGGGGGCGAGGGGGGGGGGGGTCGCTTGGCTTTTGATTGTAGCATTTTATTTTTAGCCCCACTTGATAAAAATGGTCAAAGCCGAAACAGCAGCATTCCTCTGGAAAGCTGAGACACTTCCTTTTAAAAGGATGTCAGAACGAAACATTTTGACCCCAGTGTGCTACTCCCTTGTGTATTTTCAGGTGAAAAACATGGATTCCATTTACAAATAGTTTCAATGCCTGAAAAGCAGCATTTAAACAAACCTGCTCGTTGGGAGAGGTGTTGTTTGACTCCAAGATACAGATTTATCCTGAAGGAAGAACCTGACATGGTCCCTGTGGAGTTTTGATCCCTTCCCTCCCGTCAGCCCCGCGCAGCCCAGGGCCGGGGTGGCCCCGGGATGTCCCCCCCGACGTGCTGGGTGGGGAGGGTGGCTCGGCCGGGCTCCGGTGTGGAGCCCTGGAGTCCAGAGCAAAGTGACTGATAGTTTATCAGCGCCTGATTAGGGGGGGGTAGCGCCGCGGGGTGAGGTTTGAGCAGCTGGGACTCGGTGTCCCAGGGTGCACGTGCCGGTGGAGCCGAGTGCGCCCCAAGCCCTCGGTGCAGTGAAGACATGGGGGGGGCTTTGTGGTGAGGGGCTGCAGAGGCGTCTCGGGGGTCCCCCCGTGAGCTCTGAAGGCAGGAGGAGCCAGCTCAGGGTCCTGCGCAGGGAGATGGTTTAGCCTGAAGTCAGGTTTTAGAGATTTGTGTCCAGGGAGGCTGGAGAGGAGCCTGGCCAGGCTGTGCCCGTGCCGAGGGGGTGCTCCGGCCGGGGTTCATTCGCTGACCCATCTCTCCTTTAGCTCCCGGACACCCACCCACCCCGGGGGGATTTGCAGCCAGAGCCCTGGCCAGCGGTGATATTTGCAAGCCCGAACACCACAACTTCTTGCTCTCGTATGATGGGTCTTTAATTACAGCTGAAGAATAAGCTGTGATTATAGTTCCTAGACACTCTGACTCATCGGCTTCACCAGCAATTATTATTAAGGCTGATTGGTTATGAAACTTGTTCATTAACACGTGTCTTGTGGTAATCTGTTTTAATTAGAAGGGATCTGAGTTTGTCTTGCACGTGGTCTCCAAGATGAATGATTTAGGTCTCGTAAGGAGGGGAGCGGTGGTTCCTGCCAGCCCCTCCTGGGGCGGTGGCGGGGGATGTGGGGAGACCTGTGTGCCTTTGCCTTTACATCGAGCAGAGCCAGATAAACCCCAAAAATCCCAGCAGGGTCCAGCAGCGCGGGAGGTGGCTTCAGCCTGGCCCAACAGCACTTGTCCCCTTCCCTGCCGTCCCGGGGACGTGTGTCCTGCCTGGCTGGGAACCAGCTCCACCAGTGCCTCCCCCCCTGCGCCCAGCAGCGGGGGTGGCTGCCACAGGGGCGTAACTGGGAATGACTTTCCTCCCTGAGTCTTTGCCCCCGGAGGGGCTGCTCCAGAGAGTGCTGGTGGCTATGGCCAGGCTGTGCTCTGCCACCAGAAGTGCTCTTTTTTAGCGGGGGGGACACACACGACAGTGGTGTAACCCCCACTGCACCAGGGCAGGGCTTTAGGGCACTCAGCCTGCAGCACCCTGCAACACCGGGAGAGACCCTTCTCCCCACACCTCCCCCGGCAGAGCTGCGGCAGCCCCTGGAAGCACCTGGGGGTCTCTGGAGCGGACCCCAAACTGGGGTTAAACCCCTCACTGATGCTTCTCTCTCCTCGGCAGCGGAGGCCACCTCAACCCCGCCGTGTCCGTGGCCATGTGGCTGGTCGGCGGGCTCAACATCACCATGCTCATTCCTTACTGGGTCTGCCAGCTCTGCGGCGGGATGATAGGAGCCGGCCTGGCCAAGGTACGGACACCTGGGGGGGGTCTCTTTAAGCAGGGACCATGCCGGGGTGCAGGGACTCCCCCTCCTCTGCCAGCGCTGGCCTGGCCAGCCCCAGGGGCCCCAGCAGCAGCGTGCGTGATGGGGAGGGCGAGGGGGGCTTGGTGCATCCCTCCAGCCCGTAATTAAGAGCTCTGCTTTCTGACGAGGCGGCAGGGCTCAGAGGCTCCCGCCTGGGCGTGGGGCTTGTCTGGTGCCCGGTTCCTCCTCCCGGGTCCGTCGCGCTCTGACGGGGTCCAGCAGAGCCGCACGGACGTGGCGATGCCGCCTCTGCCCGGCGCTCTGGGGCCTGGCTAATTAATTCTCGGCGGCAGCTGTTCTCCAGGGGTTTGCCGTGGCGTGCTAATGAGACCCAGAAGGATGCGCGGTGCCTCTGCAGCTCCAGCCGTTTTCACACACGGTATTTTCCTCTGCTTCTCCTTACAGGTTAATTCACGCTGGGTGCTGCCCGTTCCCAGCACCCTGCACCCCGGTGCGGCTTGGCCCCCCCAGAGCCCCTCAGCAGCCGGGAGAGCCGTGGCTGCCTCATTATCTCGGGGGAGACTAAGAGCCTTTGCTAATGAGGTTTTATATTTGCCAGGCGCTTAGGGCTGGCTTTCAGGAGGAAAGTGATGAGATTAGCTCCTCTTTAACCTGACGCTACGCCCGCCCACGCTGTCCCGACAGTGAGCACATATGCCCGGTAAAGCCCACAGTATGGAGCGTGGATTCACAAACAGGGCTTCCCCCCGTGCAGGCCGTGGCGGCGAGCGAGCGGTACGTGAACGCCAGCGGCGCCGCCTTCAGCAGCATCACGGCCGACGAGCAGATCCCCTCCGTCCTCATGGGCGAGATCGTCATGACCACCTTCCTCATCCTCGTGGCCTGCATGGGCGCCGTCAACGGGAAGACCAAGACCCCGCTGGCCCCGTTCTGCATCGGCTTCACGATCACGGTCAACGTCTTGGCGGGGTGAGCTCAGGGGTCCTCCCCGCCCCGTGCGCGCTCCCGTCGGCTCTCACCGGGCAGGGTGCCCCGAGCAGGGGGGTCAGGATGGGGCCGCCGGCTGCGGGGACGGTGCTGGTGCTCACAGCTCCCCGCGGTGCTGGCAGAGCAGAGGCACCAGCATCAGCCCTCCGCGGCTGCCGCGTCCTGCACCGGGGAGGAGGGAGCGGGGTGGGATGGGGGGGGATGTTCCCCCTTACCAGGGAAGCACCGGGGAGCCTGGCAAACGAGCCCACCGGCCCCCCCGGACACTTTGGGGGAGAGCTGTGGGGCGGGGGGAGAGGCCGTCGGCTCGAGCCCAGCGCGTGGCACTGGGGCCAGAGCAGCCTTGACAAGTCCCTGTTGCGGGCTGATAAAACCGAAGGGCCGCCCGGGAGGTGTTTGTCGTCGGGAGCCCTGAGCAAACAGGAGAGGGTTTGTCTGGAGCCGATCCCGGGCGCGGGTGCTGGAAACGCTGCCAAGCTCGGCCGCGGCGCGGGCGAGCGGCCTGGGTCTTGTGCCACTGCGCTCAGCTAACGAGCACACGCAATTACGAATGCTAATGGGTTGTTTAGTTAAGGCAGCGCCCCCTCTAGCGGGATTCCCAGCTCTTATTTAAACACTGCACAAACCTCGTGTGCAAATATTTATCTGTTGCAGTTTTCTTTAATCTGTAAACGCTATTGTCTCTCCTGCCCTGCTCCTACCTACGCGCGGCACAGAGCTTTCCCTGTTTAAAAGCCCGGCTCCCAGTAAGCCCCAAAATAGACTCAGCACCCGTGTTTCCACCCTGCGTGCCGGGTTTTTCCCCCGAGAGCTTGCAAAGCCGCAGCAGAGCAGCCGCTGGGCTCTGGGCATCATTACGCTGCAGAAGAAAATTGTCCCTGGGCATGGAGCAGCCGTGCCCGGATGGAGCCTGGGGCGGTCCGAACCCACCACCCACCCTGAGCAGGGCCAGACCCCCCCCCCTCCTGGCAGGGAGCCCTGGGAGGGGGACACTGCTGCCCCCCCCCCTCCCTGCACCCCCTCCCAGCTCTGTCCTGGCAGCGAGGGCGACAGGGCTGGTCTGGTGTCCCGCGGGGCTGATGCAGCCCCTGGGTTTCTCTTTCAGAGGTGGCGTGTCCGGAGCCTGCATGAATCCTGCCAGAGCCTTCGGGCCAGCGCTGGTAGCAAACTACTGGGACTATCACTGGGTTTACTGGGTAGGGCCCATGGTCGCTGCCCTCCTTGTCAGCGTGCTGGTGAGGTACGTGGTGCTGCAGCGGTGAGGAGAGCGGAGCCATGCGGGCTCCTTTCCTCGCCTCCGCCCCGCCGGGGGCTCTGCCCCCCGCCGCTTCCCTGCTCCCTGGGCCAAGGCTGCAAGCAGCCGCTTTGCCAGAGAGACCCCCAAGGGTCGAAGGCTCCTTCCCCTTCTCCTTCCCGTGAGGCCGGGGCGACAGCAAAGATCCAACCTGTGTCCAGATCCACGTGTTTGCTCCATCCGTGTCTTCTCGTGGGGCGAATCCAGGCTCGGGCTGGCGCTGGGCTGGCGCTGTGTCTCTGGGGCGGGTTTGCAGTGGCAAGAGCTCTAACCCCGCGTTTCTCCCTCTTTCACCTCCCCGAAGGCTCCTGCTCGGCGACCGGTCCACCCGCCTGTTCCTGAAGTGATGCCGGGCGCGGGGCCCCGTGCGCGCCGGCGTCGCTGCCCTGCCGCGGGCGGCCGGAGCGGCTCCGCACAGCGGGCACCAGGCCCCCCCGCCAGCCCACCTCCTCTCTCCAGGTCTCACAGGCAGCCCGTGCTGGGGAGATGGTTCACTTGATGCTGCGGGGATGACGGAGAGCCCAGCCCCGAGCTCTGCCAGCCCCGGCTGCGGGGACCGGCTGGCCGGGAGCATCCTCGGAGCCCCACCAGCACCCGCGAGGTCCCGGTGCCGCCTGGGCACAGCGTCCCTCCCACCCGGGCTGTCCCTGGGTGTCTGCGGTGCCAGGGAGCCCTGTGCCCGCCGGGGTGGGCGCCGCCACCCCGTGCCCAGGAGGGTGGGTGCGTGGCTGTGGCCGCCAGCCCGGTGCTCTCCAGGAGCCTCTCCGGCTCCTTGAGGCGGGTGGCGAGAGCCGCCGGTTGCCCAGCGCCCTGCGAGGAGCCTGCCCTAATCCTGCTGAGGCGGCGAGAGGCTGAGTCAAGCGGCCGTGCCTGGGGCCACTAATCGCTTCCTAACTTCTTCACGAGGATATGAATTCCGAGGCCCATTGCAGCTAGCGCCCGTGCTCTGGCACACGCGTGGCGGTGGGTGCTGTGGGGCCCCGAGCCGGCTCCTGCGTTTTGTCTCCCCGTTCGAGCATCTCTGCTCTTTCTCCACTGGCTCCCCCCTCAGCACCCAGCCCGGGGGGACCCCCACGCTCCCTCATGCTCCTCTGTGGGAGCCCCCTCCCCAGCTTGTGCCGTGGGCCGGCCCCTGTCCCTCGCGCAGGTCCAGGCTGACACCCAGCAGCTCTTGCCCGTGGCTGCCCCACAGGAAGGTGACGGGAGGAGGGACCTTTGGGGGCAATCGGATTTCTGGCTCTTCTCGGCATCGGGGGGGGGGGGGGAGGGCATGGGGTGATGAACCCACCGAGAGCACAGGGTGGGTCTGTCCCTCCCCAGCCAGAGGACGAGTGCTGGGGGCTGGGGAGGGGGGGGGGCGAGGGGAGGGGGCAGGGGGCTGCCTTGACAAAGGGAGCTGCTGCCATAAGCGGGAGCAGGCGGCAGAAGGAGCGCGCTGGCGCTGTGTGGGCAGGGGGAGAGGAGCCAGCGCAGCAGCTTTGCGTCAGCCGGGTACCCGGCCCCTCCAGCAGCTCTGCCCTGACGCACCAGCCGGGCTCCCCAGCCTCACCCGGGGAGGGGGGGGGGATCCACAGGGACCCCGTCCCCACAGGGACCCCCGTCCCCACCACTCTGGGGGCATGCTGGGTGGTAAATCAGCACGCGAGTGCTCCCAGCCCCAGCACAGAACCCCCCCAAGTTACCGGGGTTTAGTCACTCCTGATTTTGCAAACGTTTAGCTCGGGGAATGCCTGTTGCTCTCTCGGCCCCTGTAAGTGTGGCTCTGAGGTGCCCCTGGGCTGGCGCTGGGGAAGGGGCTGTGCTGGGAGAGCTGTGCCCACCCCCCCCGGGGCCGCCCACCCTGCCCAGCCCCACACCCGGCGCACCAGTCCGGATACTGGGACGGGCCAGGGAGTGGGAAAGGGCCAGGCTACCGCAAAAGGGAGCGATAGCATCTTCCCAGGGCCAGGACCTGCGGGCTGGGCTCTGGCTGTTCCCCCTCTCCTGCTGCCGGCGGGTCCAGAGGAACCCCCCCGGGTGAAGCAGAAGCTCCCTGCCTCTCCTCACGGGCTGCTCCACGCAGAGGCAGAAAAGCCGTTGCTGTGGCAGGGAGGACATTCCCGGCTTTCTGATGTCCCCAGGGGGCTGGCAGAGCCCTGCACAATGTCACCTGTCTATTTTCAGCATGCTTTCTGTTTTCCCAGCCCAGGAGATGACCCACACATGCACGCACAAATGCACAAAGATGTAATTTATTTTTTTTTTTTGAAAATGACAAGGTTGTAGAGATGCTGAAGTGAGGCAATGCCAGAATTAAAGCATTGCTGACTCAGGGCGTGCGTGTTTGCCTGCATCCCTCCGCGCAGGCAGCTCTCCTGGGGCTGGGCAGGGGGACGTGGGACCCCCCGTGAGTGAGCGCGGCCCCCCGGTGAGTCGGGGCACGGGCAGCTGCTGCTTCAGGAAGGAAAATGGTGCAACCCACAGAAGGAGACAAATAGCACGAAGATGTCACTGGGACGGTCGTCATGGCAACGCCACAAAAAAATGCCAAACCAAACAAGGAGCAAAGTCGCTGCTTCCTTCCCAGAGGGACCCTGGGGGTGCGGGAGTAGGTGCTGGTGGGAGCTGGGGGCCGCGGGGACCCCGACCTTCCCCTTTCGAGAGCAACTGTGGCCCTGCGCCGGCTTACAGCCGCAGCTGCCAGCTCCCCCCGGCTCCAGGGCCCTTTGCTGGGTGGGCGCAGGCGAGGGGGGGGCTCAGGGCCGGGGTCTCCCCACACCGGTGATGCTGCTGGCTGCTGCTCGTGGTCCCCGGGCGCAGGCCAGGGGGGCAGGAGGTGGGGGATGGCCCACGCACGGCCGCGTGTGCTTCCCTGCTTTGCTGTTGATGCGTTCAGCACATTCATTTTTAATTCGTCAGGGTGACTTTTAATAAAGCATCTGTAAAACTGCGTTGTTTTTCCCTGAGTATTATTAAAGAGCTTAATTTATGCTAATTAAATACCAATTAACTTCCAAGCACTTAACGTGCTTTAAGGACATTAAATACATCTCGTTCCCATTCAATTAAACTTGCATCAGGCCTGGCCATGGGTCTGCACCATGTTTTTATCGGCGCATGGATCAGAGCTGGGATGCGTTTACCGGGTTCTTCGTGCCCATTGGGATGGAGACGCCGGTGGGGAGGGGGGCAGGTGTGGGGCAGCGATGCTGCGGGTACCTGTAACGAACGGGGGGGCGATTGCTGAGGTCTGGGGTGGGCGAGGGCACCGATGTGGGATGAAAAGCCCGGGGGGAGCGCGGGGCACTGCCTGGTCCCCAGGAGCTGCCCAAGGCTCTGCAGACATCGGGCACGTGCTCACCCGGGGAATATTGGCCGTGGCTGGTACCAGCGCTCTGGGGACACAGGGAAAAACACCAGGGCGTGCGCTGGGAACAGCAGCAGAAGGATGTTTGTCCATCCCTGCGTCTGCCGGAGCCCCTCCTGCCCTCACACTGCGGCTCTTTCACTCTGGATAAACACCCTGGTTAAACATTGACCAGGGGAAGAAAGCCACGCTGTCACCTGCGGCCGGGCTCCCCGGTGCCAGCTCACCCGTGGGGCACACCTGGGTGTTTGTCCACCCCCCCCCAAAGCCAGCGTGTTTGCCCCACCTGCCATGGCAGCTTGCGGCCCCGATTTGAGCCGGGCCCCTGCCCAGCCTGCGCGACCCCCCGGCCGCGCAGGAGCTCTCGCTGTGCTTCTTGCTTTGCCCTGTGCCACGATGCCCGGCTCCCCGGCGAGGGTGGCTCTGCCCACCCTGGCTGGTGGCTGCGTGGGACGCAGCCGCTGGCAGCAGCGTCGCGCTGGAAATAGCTGATACGCCGCGTGCGGAATGGGCGAATTAATGAGGAGGTTAATTCAGCCGAGGCTCAGTCCCCCGTCCCCCCCCCCCCCCGGCTCGCAGCTCCACTGCGCTGCAGCCCCCCACTCGGGAAGGGGGAACCCACGGCCGGTCGGGCAGCGGGGCGCAGCCCAGGGTGCCCCCAGCCCCAGCACGGTGCTCGGGGCGGGGGGGACGTTGCCCACCCGCTGCCCACACACAGCTCAGCCCTGAGCTCGGTGACACGGGGCCGGGGCCGGTCTGGGGGGGTTTCTGCTCTTACACAGAGCCGGGGTGGGATGCAGCCCCCTACCCCGCCTGGGGACGCCCCGTAGGGGTGAACTCTCCTTTCTGCCGCCCACGAGGGGCTGGCACCCCCGGACAGGCGAGGGGGTGAACAGGCTGGGGGGAGCTCTGCTCTCCTGGGGCCGCTCTCTGGGGCCCCGAACACCGACACTGCAGGACCGAGTCCCTTCTGGCAGGAGACCCGGCTCCACCGCCGCGCTGATGCCTCAGCACCCCCGAGCTCGCCTCCAGGAGAGGGACAGGCCGGGCGGTGGGGAAAAACGGGCTGAAGAAGCAATAATTCTGCACATCAGCAATAAATAGACAACGGCGCTCGTAGTGAGAAGAAACCGCCGGGGCCGTGAGCTCAGCAAGGCGCGGAGCGGTGCTGGTCCCGCCGTGGTTATTTGCTCGGCGGTGGAGCCTCACCGCGCGATGTTTCTCACAAAAGGCTTTTCATCCACGGCAGAACAACACCTCGCTGTTCCCCTCCGCCCGCCCGCCTGCCACCCCTGGCCCTGTGATCCAGGAAAGGAGGAGCTCCCAGATTTTTTTTCCGTCCAAATTCTCCCCTCAGAAGGATTGGGGTGTCTGGCAGCGTGCTCCCCCAAAACCTCCTCTGAAAATAGCAGCGTCCCTGAGCAGAGGCAGCACATCAAGATGCCAAGAGTGTGGCTGTGGCGGAGTATGATGGATGAATGCTTTTTGGAACGTGCCCCATGAGAGCATCTGGGAATTCTCACTTTGCTCTGCTGTAGAGGTTTTCTTTGCCAGTCTACAGCTGGAGAAATCACAGCCTTAAAAATAAAAGGTGATTTAATTCTTTTAGCTCATTTTGTCCATTTGGGGAACCGCAGTGGCTGCGGAGGGCGGATGCAGGCAGCAGCAAACGGGGATGGCCGGGGGCAGCGGGGTGGGTCAAGGTCAGACCCACTCCCACGGCACCAACCTGCTCTTCAGCTCCCCACTGCCCCTGGGAGCAAACTGAGGGACTCTGGCTCCAACCAATGTGGGGGAAAAAAAAAAAAAAAAGCCTTCAAAAAACTTGAATTGCACTAAAATCCGGATGCAGGCAGCCCTTTTGTGAAAAAGCCAAGGGATGTGCAGCCCCCCCCCCCCCGACTCCTCAGCTGCTTGCGGGTGTTAGGGCAGCCTTGCAAGGAGGGGGCACGCGGGGGGTGCCTGCAGCGAGGGCCCCACGCGAGGGGCTGTGGGGGAGTGGGGAGCAGAGCAGCTCCTGTGGCCCTCGAGCCGCCGGCAGCCCCGAGGGAGCGGGCAGAGGCGGCTGCAGTGCCCCCCAAGGCTTCCAAGGCAGCTC